GACTTGGTTCTATGGTAGGTCTTAAAGGGTTAATTAAGCTCAGATCAGTCACACATGTTTTTGTTTTTGCTGCTATGGATGTGTCATATAATGAATGCATTCATAAGCATAATGGCAGAGGAATCATGTTTGTAGTCATTTACAAATTTTGCAGATTAGGTTTACTGTCTTCTGTTCTAAGGCAGTGGTGAAGTGTTTTTTTGTGCTCCACTGGGAGAAATGGACAAACACACAACTTGTTACATTTTGAGTGTCCCTTTCCAATCTTGTTACCTATTGCAAGCAATACCAGATCTCTTGCACCACATGCTGCTGTGAAATGTGTATCTGATTGTAAGAACGCAGTCCGTGACCTACAATCAAGATCTGTACTCTGGTTTTGCTTTGTGTAGATTTCAAATTGTTAGAAAATTGTATCATAGGTCCATGCAGCATTATCACAGGCGGTGTGAGCAGGACAAATGCCGACACAGTTCTCTAATGTAAACAGGTTTCTGTGTTAGCACTTCCCCAAAATAACATAAAACATGGTCCCATCAGATCCTGGTGTTTGGAGAATGTCATGAATATTTATCTCTCAGAGCAACTTGCCAAAAATATCACAGAGAAAGACCAGGCTTCCTACACAATGATAACTGTGCATGCACATTAACACAACCCCCCCCCACACACACACACACACCTCTGCCTGGGTTGTGTCCTATTGGCATTGAGCAGAAAACTGGATTTAAAACGATGCAGCATCTACCTGACAGAGAGATAAGGAGGATGTGTTTGAGGATGTGATCAGTGCTACTTCTGCTCCAACCCAACAGAGAATTTACACACATGGCTGATATTTTTAGGTGCTTTTGAAAAAATACATTGTTGCAGTTTTTGTTTGTTATTAAGTTATTTCACTGTATGACTGTATTAATGACATCAGTTCTTCCTATATTACACTATCTTTCCTACTCCAGCTGCTCAGATGGACAAACTGCTCAGAATCTGGCTTTAAAACAACATTCCCAGAATGGTTTTAAAGGAATTGTGTTACCAGCTGCTGGGCTGAATAAAACTGGCACATGTTCATTATAATGATGCAGAACAAAGGTGAACTCGGTGCAATGGGACAAAAATGGAGTTTGGTTAGAAAGTCATTGTTACATCACAGCAGTCATTGATTTGGTCTTCACAAAATGACTGCAAGTTCCCCATTGCACTGAAATAAAATACAATTATTTTATGGTGTAAGAAACAACAGTTTCTCACCCTGTGGGGGCAGCGTCTTGTCTCGTTACTCTGCAGGCTATTGGTTTCCCACAGTAATTGGCACAGGAGGTGGGAGCTAGCATGTGTACAGACGAACAATGTTCAGAGTTATTTGCTGACATGAACCTTAATGACCGCCTGCAGCAATCTGCTTTAAATGAGCCGAATTTAAGACATGCTTACAGGAATAGTAATTTTCCCACATTGTCTTTATTTGGCTAAAACCGTCTTTTTGTGTCTCCTCAGCCACGACAGCCGATCGTTTCTACAGGATAGACCGAGCACAGGTAACGTTTCACCGCCTGTGCTCTAGTTTTTAGTCATTTTCACTCCGTGACCTTAATGACACCTTCTCGTTTGATTCTTTGCTAAAACCTTCAGGAACATCTCAACTACGTATCAGAAATCTCCCAGGAAGAGATCTTCATCCTGGACCCTGAACTTGTTGTCATGACAACTGTAGGCACCTCCCCCTCAGCCATGGCCGACCTGGTTAACCCCGCCCCTAGCCCAGTAAACAGCAGGTAAATCAGTTGTGACTAAGCTGAATTTTCATTAAACGTTTTTTCTTTGTTCCAGTCATCACAGTGAACAACGCTAGAAAAAATAAAAGTAGACTGAAGGTTGAAAAGGAGAAGGAAAAGCGTGGCCTTACTTTGACTCCTTGAAGTAATCAATAAATCAATAGAAACAGTCTGCCAATTACAGTTACTTACAACCAAAATTTACATGAGAAAATTATTTGTTAATTTTTTTCTTACAGCCTTTTAAACAATTCTGTGGCGAATTCTGTAGTTGGACAACAACCACTGCAGTCCATAAATAGAGATGTTTACAAGGATCCTTTTTAAATCAAGACTTTAGTCCCCTGGCTTAGCAGGTAATTATACGCCATGCGGCTGAAATGCAGCCACCTGGGCTCGAGTCCGACCTACGTGCTCCCCACTCACTCTCTGTAAAAGTTAAAAAACAACAAGAAACCCTCTATTATTATACACAAAATTAGCTGATTCCCAGAGTCACCTCTTTGTCGTATTGCTGTCCAACGAAATACTCTGTAGGGCCTATTTCATGACCTAACACCTTCTCCAGGGACAACACTTCTAGTCAGAGCTCCACTGCTGCTTTAGTCTACACTGCTGCTTCCTCCTCCGACTCACCTTCATCCTCTGTTCCCAGGTAAAGACGCACATTAAACACAAATGCGTCCTTAATGTGTTTTAATGTGTGTCTGTTGCTCTCACCCAGCTTCTATGTTTCTGGTTATAAAAATGAAACAAAACAAAGACGCCAACATTGTGTTGTGGTCCAGTAATGAAAGTGGGCATCAAGTCAGTCTGTGTTTCAAAGGCTTTTGCTTTTTAAAGTTTTAATTATTATTTAATTTCATGATTTTAGTTATTATTTAAATATATAAAAATGTAGATTTGGGGGATTAGGACTTTGTGTTTTAGTGCCTATAAAATCTAATCGTGCATAAATGGACGAGTCTTCAGCTTCTTTTCCGACTGAGAAAATCTGTCATCATTATGTTTGTGTTTGTCTTGAGATCTGTAGACAACACGTTTGTATTCTACTCGTATTTTCATATTATTAACCATGTACCAGAGACTCGCGAAGGTGCATTTCTTACCTACAGCTGCCTGTTGATGCTCCATAAACAATTCTCATGAGGCAAAATGAGAAGAGGGTGAGCAGATTATGAGTGAGGGGATCAAGAATTTCTGGGGAGAAATCTGGTTTTACTCAATATTTTCTTACAGTAAAGAAATCCCATGAAAAGAACAAAGATGTGTTTTCATCTTCCTGACTTCTCTGTGTTTGCCTGTGGCACTCGGCTTCATTGGTTTGATCTAAGGATGAAAATCTTGAAAAACATTCCTCAAATACAGCACCAGTGAAAGGTTTCAGCACATCTATTTATTAGAAGACTTTCCACTGTTTTTTCCTCATGTTTTGCATTATAGAGTAAAAAAATCAAAATAATTGAATAACACATTTGAATTTTCTAAAACATGAAAATCCTCAAACTGTTTCAAACATTTATAGTCTTTGTAGTTCACTCGTCCCTCTGTCCCTCTGTCACTCGGACAGAGGGACAGAGGGACAGCTGGAGTCAGCCGCTTGATGAAGCCGACACAAATAAAATCCTCTTCAGAAAGCAGAGACAAGAGCATCCAGTTACCAAAGAGGAGACTCG